ATCCCTTGTCTTAAGCAAACACAAAGTTAGCTAGAAGCCAAAGTGTATGAAATTCCTCCGAAAATGTTCTGCCCAACAGTCTAATATCTAGTATTGGAAGCGAATAATCGTACCGTATCTATCTGAAAGAACCTCACTAACAGCTTCCTCTGTACCTCTTTCCCAAATCCTACTGAATAGTTGTACGCTGCTACTTATTACCTCCACCCTTTCCACTCCCTTGCTTTCGCCACCCAATAGTGACCATAATCACTGTTTAGTTATTCGTCACCCTACACTTAGGCTACTCTCGTTCCTGATAGGATGATTTCTCGGCCATCTTATAATTCAGCCGATAATACAGAAATCCACTGGTCATTCTCAACCTTTCAATTCAATTTATTTGTGGATATCACTAACGTTTTTACAGCTGTTGATATCATGCCGAGCGATCTCGTGGCGAATATCACTATCATTGTTTACAGATTCATTCTCTAATCATTTCTCGAATATTATTGACTTGTTTACAAATAATCTGAAATTCTACGGTTTTTCTAACTGAGGCTTTTCAACATCTTACAGGGGACAAGTACACGTTCATACTAAAGCATGATCTGAGCCTAAACTTGTGGTTGTTGATCTGTGACTTACACATCTAAGTGTTTAGTTCCGGTTCTGATAACCTACGTGTTCAATAAAATGACTTGCCACTTTACTGCATTAGATCGCATATCTCTTTGAGGGAGAGTTAAAAACTTCCTGTGAACCGTATTTCCTTAGAGCTGCAATTAATGAAGGCGTAGGTAAAGTGTTATAATTGTTTTGCTAATAAACGACCCACCTACTCCTATTGCTTAGTATTCTTATACAATGACACTCGAAAAGACCCCAAAATCTGAACACGTTGAACAGGAACGAAATTGTATTTCAAATAACAAGGGTTGTGAACAGCAATCGAAGGTTAGAAAAACGTTCATATATTTATAGCATATGCATAAAAAGCTTCTAGATGCTTCTCCAATAACCCACCAGAGCTGATTGGTTTAGAATTAGCCAATCACTGTGCGCCGTCACGACCATGAACATAACGTGCCTTAATCCGGTTTATTTCCCGCTAACACAGAGAAAAAAGACAGCAGCTTGTATTACTATTTTTTCAAGTTTCGTTTTCCAGTTCAATCGAACAGCTCACAAGCAACTGCCTATTGCAATCCTGTCTAGCGAAGCCTGTTCAGTTTTGGATTCAATGCTATACCTACTCCGACGACCTCTTTGATGAGAGAAATGGAGTCTCCGGATACGTAGAGGGTAAGTTGTGTTTGTTACATTAACTAGTCGAGGGAAAGTGAATGACAGTACTTGGGTCCTGTATAAGAGTCTCGGAAACACGACGTAGGTAGACGGCGAAAATGTCTACTGTTCCAACTAGTTGGGTCTGTTGTCCTCTCTGACGCACGATTCGTACAGTGAGGGCTCCTGCATATAGTTTTTGGGGCGCGGGTTCAGGATATCATGGGTAAATGTTTCCTGAACACAAATCATTGGAATTGATGATTCTCGGTGATAATGATGTACGAGAGAGAATAGTTTTTAGTATTGGAGAAAGGGGAATTTAATCGTGAAACATGAATTCGTGTGTTATTAGCAGTACGAAGGTTTTTGTCACTTACCGATTGCACCACCAGTTGAAGGACTTATGAACGAGGAGCCTGGAATATAAACTGGACTAGTGGTGGTCTTAGTGATCTGGGAGCATGACTGTGAAACCCGGTTTCATACAACTTAATCGTGGATAGTTTCTGATGTGTTACCTCAGTATTTGAGCGAGACTTGTCGCTAGAAGTGGAAATCCGTGGTGAAGGTGAAGTGTGACATTTTAATTATTTGACCCGCTGGTTTGTGAGAGGGTAGCATGGACGTAGTCCCTTCTTTGTCTGAGGGAAACATCTTATTGCCGTCACATTCTCATACGTTTAACAGCATGACTTCGCCCACCAACCTTCAGTCTTACCTTTCTCCAACCGACGTGCTTAGGGTGGTTGGATGTAAACGAACTGGTGTTCCAGCCAATATGGCTGGCTTGAGTCATCACTATAGACAATCTGAACCATTTCGTCAAAGCAGAAGCTACATTCAAGATTATGTATACATATATATATATTCGTATCAAGGATGGATTGCAGCCTCCTTTAAAACTTGGAAATCGCCGATATGTGACCTGTTTGGGTGGTCGTAGTCATATCCACAGGACTTTTACTAATTCAGTGACTGTAAAGGGCGAACGTTAATACTGGAGAAATATATGGTACAGGCAATGCTGCACGTGTTAGTTCATGACGCGCAAATGAACTACAGATCACCAATGTAGGATGTCGATGTGGATGATTAGGGATCTACTTGATTTAAATAGGAACAGTATAATCTCCGATATTATATCGCAGCCACATTTCGCGGTTAATACGCTGCGTGAATCACCCTTTCGTTTTATCGACGTACTGTAGCAACTATGAGAACCGCATGTCGTTGATTTGCACGCGTTGGCTTTCATTGACCTTGATGAAGATCGATAAACTATTTGACATTAACTGGTTTGCCTGACGGATGATTTGGCTAGAGCCTAGTGACGTTCCACTAGCCCTACAGACTAGTTTGCTTTAGTTATCAGTAATGTTGACGATTCTCGACAAAATGTCTGACACTTAGTGATCTGTCGCGTAACGTAGAAAACTCCCCAGCATTTTAACTGACTTGGTTGGGACTCAATGAATTTTCGTTGGCCCTACAAGCTAATCTTTATCATCTTCGCTGATATCAATGATAAGTGCGTGGCACCGTGTTACATTTGTTGTAATTCTTTTCCTCGCTGTTCTGGATGTCTTTATTCTGGCATCGTGAGGTTCTCCCTCTGTAAGCCCTTTTCGAGGTTCTTTGGACGGCATCAGTACAACTCCCTGGGTATGTGGTATTTTCTTCTCTGTAGCAAGAATACCGAAACACCCCTACTGAAGTTAGTGTCTTTTATCCACATTATGTCCGACGAGTCTCGTCTAGTCCTAGCACCAAAAGACTCATTTCCACCGCCACTTGAATGAACCGTTGATTTCTCACATTGTCCAAATATCCAATGTACCTATATTAATTGGTGGTCTGGTTTTCAGAAGGGTGATTTGCTCCGTGTCTCTCGAAGAATCTCAGCTCTTACTACTATGGGTCATAACCCTTCTCCATGAAGACCTTTCGAACTTCGGAACACAGTTTGGGGGAATTTATTAGTTTATGCTGTTTCACGGTTTTTGGTGAGGTTCTTTTAGAAAATAGGGCTGCTAATTTCTTACCTAACCCTCCTCCTTTACCAGGTTTTATGGTAAGAAATAACCCTAGACAGCTCCAAAGGGAATCTGGAAGCCACAAGCCTGTATTAAGGTGGGTTCCTGTAAAAACAAAAAGTGAACTTCGACAGCAGTGCAGAAAGGAATTTCTCATAACATAGTATATTTTGCTAACGGGTTACCCCAGTTATCCAACATCGAAGTGTGCCACACACTAAGTTCAGGAACTACGGCTAGTGGCCACATTATAAACTGATCACTAAAATGTGTTCAATACTAACAACTGGAAAAATGTAAATTTATCTTCTGTAGGGCACGATTGATGAACGAAACCAGCAGTCACAGCACTAAACCCTCATCACTATCTTGACCCTTTTTAACCTTGTATGACTATGCCTTCTTCACTCACCAGTCGTATTCTTTCATGTTTGTTATAGAAGATAATAAGTCTTGTTGACATACTTATGATATCCTGTTTTCACCGTTCAGGATCATATCTGTTCTAGTTGTTTCCCTGAATACTAAAGCTGTCAGTTTATGTTGTAGAAACGGATAACATTTGTCAAGCCAAATGGCTTAATTGTTTTGGCACAGGCTAAGCCAAATCCGTGTACAGCAGCTTGGGGAATTGTTTAAAATCGAATCTGCAGGAAATTGCTTCCTAAAATTACTACTCAGTAATCGGTTGACACAATTACCTCAGTTCTATAAGTGGTTGGTTGCAAATTGTGTACCTCGTTGATGCCTCTGATTGTGGTATCGAACGACTCAGGTTCTAATCTCTATGGGATCATTCTTCAATCTAAGATTGTAGACAAGCTTTGCTTATATTTGCTAACCAACAAGAAATATAGGTTATGGGATTTCTGGTAATTGTGATCATATACAGTGCACGACGCGATTAGTCATATTCTGTCAGCCGTCTTGGATCAAAAACTTCTCAACATATCGATAGCTTACCAAATATATCTTCGAATCCCTTCATTTTTGACTTTGGATTTGGCTGGGTTGATATCCTTCGATGAGAGTTACGTGTAAAGGCATCGCCAAACTCCAATACCTGTGGCATTTTTTGAATAGTACGTATTTACCTTAGTTCACAGATAACCCTAAATTTGTACTCTGCAGACGAAAGAGATTAAACTATTACAATTTTAAGCGAAGTACATTAAATGCATTTACTTTTTCAAACCTTACTCAGTCCCTCAAAGAGCTATAAAATAACGCTTTTTCACAAATATGTCATTTCTAAGCGATATTTTGGAATAGCATTCAATGAGATGTTATAGTGTGCTAAGGCCTAACGAGGTTCACAGAGAATATATGCCAAATCTTCCCAACTAGATCTGAGTTTTAGAAGCATGATGAGTTCATGATGCTCTCACTGTTTGACAAATCAAATCAACAGACACCAGGCATATGCTTAAAGACCACGCTAAGGAGTGAAATCTGATAAATAGGTGTATGTTTGCCTAGGTTTAAGATAGGCTAAAACCAGAAACATGGACTTCGCATCTAGCAATCAGGCAATTGGCCATTTTCTAGAAAGATTGTGAATCAAGCGTTAAAGAAGGCGTAAACCTTTGTAAATGTAATATTTTTAAAAGGGACAACAAGATTAATGCTGAAAAAAGTTTCTAATTCCAGAACTCATTCAAATTGGACAATGAATAGTCATGGTGTATTTATACTATGTTTAAATCGCCGTATGCGTTGTCAGCAAACATGTCTTCGATGGATGGTGATCGTGGTGATTTCGATGACGATCATGATAGGGATGAGGGCTTTCCAGACGAAGATCCTCCGTTTCAGTCAGAAAATACCTTTTCGGATGATGGGCGATATCAAGATGATATGCGGTACCCAGAGGATCGTTATCCAGATGATTCCCCTGTGCATAAACATGATGACCGTTACCCAGGTCCCGGACCCCGTCATATGAGAATGATGAGGTTAGTTTACTATTTACATCAATTAAATCAGAATGTAATGAATTAAGTTTACTGTCAGCTGATACGTGTTCTGTGTTTTGCAGGCCTCAATTTCGTCCAAGATTTCAGGGTGGCTACAGGGGGCACCCACGAATGCAGATGCATGGTGGCGGTCGGTATGTGTTTGTACTAATAAGCATTTTTGTTTTAGAGGGAATTTTATGCGATCAGGAATGGGTCCACATCGTGGTCCCCAATATGATGGTTACGGTCATCCTATGGGCATGAACCGAGGATACCCACCAAGATTTAGTCCACAGTATCCTGGACGTTTTCAAGGCATAAGCGAAGACCAAATGGATGAGCAAATGGACGAAACGCATCCTTCCGGCGACATGAACTATCCAGGTCACGGGGATATGCCGATGCCCCCTAACGCGTATCCTAATATGCAGCACATGCGCATGCGCGGTCCACCACCTCAATTCATGCCACCTAACAAACAGATGCCTCCTGACCACCAACAACCAGGTGCTCTCCCACCGGGTTCTGGCGGGCACCAGCCCTATGGTACAAACAATTCGTTCAATAGTCCACCTGGGTCTCATTATGGTGGACCACAGGCACCTTATGGTGGACCTGGAGCTCCTTATTCCGGAAACCAAAACAATCAACCCTTCGGAGCTCCACCGTTCAATGGCCCTCCTGTGTCTCAGTTCGGCGGTCCCCCATACAATGGCCCTCCAGTGTCACAGATGGGTGATCCCGGTTCAAATCTACCATCAGGACAGCAGTTTGCTCCACCAACTAGGCCATTTGGAGCACCTCCCGCTGGCCCCTTTCCCGTTCCTCCAACCGCGCCTTATGGCGGCCCAGGGTCCAACTCGCAACCCGCCGGGTCTTACAATGGCCCTTCACAATTTGCTGGGGCTCCAACCGGACCTCAAAGTGCTTCGTCGCAGGGCACCCCATCAAATGTCCAGAACAATCTGCCACCAACTCTAGCCAACCCGCCAGTCCCCGTCGCACCCCCAGGTGGTGCGCCCGCGCCTGTTTGTCCCCAGTCTGCAACTCAGTCTCCAGCCACACAAACGTCTGCTCAGCCTCCCGCTGCTGCTCCTCCAATCCAAGTAACTCCAGTTGCGCAACCAGTTTCAAATGTTCCACCACCGTTTACCTACCCGACTCCTGTTCCAACTGCTTCGGACGGTAAGTTGGCCATCCAACAATTTATTAGATGGTTCACATTCTCACTACTGTGTCTCTGTATCTTTCGATGTTTGACTACATAGTAGTCATAGTCTCAGTCTTAATGAGCGTTACGTTGGTTTAATCAAATACCTTTGTCTGTTTACAGGTTCACATTTTGGTCTTCCACCACCTTGTTTCCCTGCGATGCCTGCTCCACCCAGACCCATGGCTGTGCAAGCTATTCCGGGACCAGGAATGCCTCCTGGTACAAGTCTACCGTGTCCAACCATGCCACCTATGCCAATGATGGGCCCTCCACCCATTCCTGGAATGCCTCCCATGCCACATCCTTTGTCTCATTTCCGTCCACCCATGCCTTTCATGCCGCCTGTAATTCCTGTTAACCCTTTTCCCCCGACTATGATGCAACCTAGGATCGTCGATGACATTTGGGTGGAGAACCTTACAGCTGAGGGGAAGTCGTACTATTACAACATGCGGACTCGTGAGACCCGCTGGGATAGACCTGAGGGAGTCACAGTGGTGCGCCAAGGTGAGGTAGAAGGCACAATAAAGCCGGCAACAACGTTGCAAATGACTACGGCATCGGTTCCAACAAGTGTTGCCGCACCATCTGTCCCTCCAGCTACTCTCACCAAACCTCCTGAGGTCGCAGTTTGGACTGAGTATCATAACCAGGATGGCAAAGCCTATTATCACAATGTAAAAACAGGGGAGACTACATGGGAAAAACCAAAGGTGTTGATTGATTGGGAAAGTAAGTTGAAATTTACGTATATTATACTTTCTAGAGCAACAGTCAGAGCCAAGCAGTCAAAAGACTCCAGAACAACCAAGCCCATCTACAACGACAAAGACAGCAGCTACACCAACAACTGTCGCTATTCCTGTGAGTAAACGTTTATTTAGCCATTTATTTCGACTGCTGTTCTAATCACAATAGCATTAAGTTTAACCCTTATCTTGTGATCACTTACAACCGAATTTCATTTAGGCTAAGTAAATTGTGTTTTAATATCGCTCTAGACATTCAGTAACCTTTTTTTCCTTTTCAGACGACTGAAAGTAAAAAGACGGTTGTACCTGATTCTAATGAAAATCCTAAACCTGCGGAAACTTTGAAATCTGATGCTATTGAAAACGGAGTCTTAGAGTCAAATGAGCAAGAGTCCAAAGCAGAGTCAGGCAAGACCTCAAAGGATAGTAGTCGACCGGTATCTAGCACGGCTGTTCATGGGACTCCATGGTGCGTTGTGTGGACTGGTGATGGTCGCGCATTTTTCTTCAACCCAAGTCAGCGGCTCTCTGTTTGGGAAAAACCTGATGAACTCAAAGGTCGGACAGATGTCGATCGTTTACTCGAAAAGCAACCAAATACATCATTGTCGGGGAATACTACCTCACCTCAAGCAAACCCTGCGGGTAATGACAATGAATCTGAAGCAGTTGATGGAAACCCTGTCCCCAAAAGACCGCGCCTGTAAGCTTCATTTGTATTCAGTAATTTCAATCAATAAGATAGTATTTTGAAAAAAACATTGGGTTTTGCGAAAACAGTAACAACTATTGGTTGGGTTCACGAAAGCCACATATGTTCATTGCTTCCTTTATGTGGTTTAATCGTGTATAGGATCCGGACACGTAGATAGTATTTGTAATTTTACGTTGTCGTATAAGCTAAAGAAATTTCGATGTTCACTAGTGTGGATGAGTAAATAGATGTCGAGGCATTTAGATTTCTTGCCACTTAGTTTCGTTGATGTTTCACAAAGCTATTTTTTCTCCCAGTGAAAATGACGAAACTAATGGTCCTGCAAGTGAAGTAGAAGCACCTACAGCTGTTGAACAGACAGATGAGAACGATGCAGATAAGTTAGGCAATTCGTTGGATAAGATCCCCATTGGACTAGAAGCTGCCAAAGAAGCTGAAGAAAGGGCCGCCAGGGAAAGGGCTGTACAACCGCTGGAAGTTCGTGTACGACGGTTCAGGGAGATGTTGGTCGAAATGCAGGTATGTCGGTTTTCTTTTTGATAATTTCCTGTCTAACTAATCCAAATTGGCAGCTCAAGCTGATGCCTAATGGTGTTATCCTTTTTTAGAAAAATCATTGACATTGCCTTCACTTTCCTGCATTGATAACTCTTGATCTTTTTTAGGTGTCGGCGTTCTCCACCTGGGAGAAAGAGCTACACAAGATAGTGTTTGACCCACGCTACCTGTTACTTGCAAGTAAAGAAAGAAAGCAGACATTCGAGGCCTATGTTAAAGAGCGTGCAGAAGAAGAACGACGTGAAAAAAAGAGCAAGCTCAAAGAAAAAAAAGAAAAGTTCATCGAACTTATGGATGAGGCTGGTCTAAATTCGAAGTAAGTTTATGAAATACCTCGCTGCCATCACAAAGCATGGGCTTTAGTAAAAGTCGGAAAGCCATTTTTAGTTATTTTTAATCCTTAAAACACAAAACCGTGTTTTCGTGTACATGTTGGACATGTCTGTGATTACTGGTTTATCCCCGTTGTTGAACGACTAATGTATATTGATGGTTTTTGCGGCTTAAAACCGCCAGTGACCCTCTGATAAAAAGTATGGACGCAAGCATTGCTGTCAATATCGTCCCTTTAAACATAGCCACCTATCGGCTGATACTATATCATATCTGGCATTTAACGTTGTATAGGTTAGAAAATGTGTTTTATGAGTCACTTATAGTTAGAGTAACTGTGATCAATAGTGATGATGATAATAGTTCACGGTTTTCACAATAAGTATGTTTTGATGATTTTTAGATCGTCGTTTGGAGATTTCACTTCAAAGTTTTCAAAGGACGATCGCTTTAAAGCAATCGAGAAATCCCGTGATCGTGAAGCCATGTTCCAAGATTATTTAGTAGAACTACGGAAACGTGAGAAAGAGGACAAGCATCGTGAAAAAGAAAAGGTACGTTTATTATGTATTACCATAACCTGAGTGCCTGAAGTAAAATAATATTAAGAGAGTCAGAGTAATTCACCGAGTTTTGAACCATGTACTCAAGACAACCATTGACATTAAGCCATTCTCGATTGTACACATATCACTTAAATTGTTGGTTGTCTTTTCAGTCGTTAAGTGTTGAAGTTTGTTGGTATTTTGTATTCAATTCGGAAGATTGTAGTCGCAAGAAAATGCCGATACATTTTCAGCTGCTTTTCTAGACCCGACTTCACATAAATATTTCATAAAACTTTAATAAGACCCTGTAGTTATTTCGCTATCAAACAGAAGTAATGACAATTTTTAAGAGAACTGTGCTTACATCTGGAACACATGCAGATTGTATTGTCCCAACCATCGTATTTCCTACATACTGCATACTTCCGGTGAGATATATTTTTCTAACAATTTGCTTTTTGTTTTTTTTAAAAGTGTAATTTGCTCGATGATTTATAGTTTTAAATTCACAATCTATGCTCATTTTGATGTGTGAATGCGTAATGGTGACTTTGTTTTCTAATTTTTAGTGAGCGTGTAAGGTTTCGTACATTTCAGATTAACGTTTTCGAACATAATTTTAGCACAACAGATAAACTAAGCGGACTAACATTCAGAATTCAAATTGTATGTATTATGATACCTCTAGTGTACTACTCTTCAGAAGTCAATACGTACTAAATCGACTTGTTCAGTGGAAACTTTCTTTAAACATATTGATGCTGAAAAACTGCATAAAATCCAGATTATTTTACGGGATTGTGAACAACTCAGTGGTTTATCACTTTTAGATTTAAAATAATTTGGTAATTTGTTTCTTTACAAAGTATTAAATTTGTTTTTTCTCTGGTATGTCTACTCTTTTAATTTGTCAATTTACATTCAAGACTCCACTAGTTACTTCACTTAACGTCTTGTGTATTTGTTTGCTCAATATTGTGAAGTAATCCAGCCCAAAGTTTACTGAAATGTCTACTCTTTGTGCACGTTTAATTTGGGATCAGCAATTACTCCTCTGATCTCTACATGTGTAGGAATGTATCAGTATATGCTCCTCCATTCTTGTTTCATCTTCTTTATTGTGGACACTTCGTCCAACATGTGTGATGGACACATTTTTCTGTGTTGTGGTTCAGTCAATATCAAATTTTAAAGCTATGAATAAATACACGGGTTAAACAGTCAGACAATTGTTAGCATATACATTGTTGAAACAGGACATTTAAATATTCGTACGTTGCGCTAATATGTATTCCAAATACCTGTGGTCATTTGCTGAAAACGTGTGTCAAAGTATCGTCATAAAATGAGACGATTATTTTTTATGATAAATTATTTGAGAAATTTTAGATATGGAGATTCCTAGTTTCTTTTAGTAGAAACCGATTACAATTTCTTCACATCACTAATGAGCACGTTTAAATTGTTCTCATATGCGTATACTTCGGCATATTTGTTCACCCTTTAGATCTAAGACGAATGAGTTCTAAAGTTGAAAATCATTTGCTGACCGTATAACTAATGTTATTAAAAAACGTTGAACGTTTCAGAACATGACGCCACTTACTAAACGTGAAACGGTCCCGTTGAAAACCCCTAATATTTTTTATAATTTCTTTTTTAATTAGAATTGTGATCAAAAGTGATCAATTAGTACAAGAAAAGTGCTATCTTTAGGCATCTTTAAAGCTTCGTAGTTTTTTCACGATTGTAGCTGGAAATGATTTGGTCATTCTGGACAAAGAAGGGCATATGAGTTGGTCATTCGCACCGCTTAGTTTAAAAAAATCCCAGTCAAATCTTTGAAAACAAATCATTAATGTTGGTATGAGATTTTTTCGCATAAAGCTATGAAAACAGTCATGTTTTTCATTAAATTTGTTGAATAATAGATAGTTGTCTTATCGCAAAGTAAGTTTTCTATGATGAATAGTTTACACATACTTTCTCCACTGAGCTGTGGATTACCCAACAGTGTTAATACAAAATACTACTCAGATTTGTGTAGTTACTAATCATACAATTTATTCATACACGTTTAATGGTCTGAAGTAGGAAAAAGTTGAATAATTTGCACAAAATGCATACCGTAGTTAGAAATACAATCACATTTACTCGAATGCTATTATAATTTGGCACGCATGTATAGAGCGTTCACACGTTCAGTCAAAAATAAGTGTTCCGCTCTAAAGTTATATTTTTTTCCAAATGTATTTTGTATGAAAGAAATTAAAATTAACGTATTATATCCAAATACCGTATACGTCTCAGTAAAGTTATAAATTTGGGCAGTAGATTTGATGCTTCACAATAATGTAGGACGTAATTTTCATTTCTTGTTAAACTTATGATCCCTGGAACTACTGGGATATGTATATCACTCTAATATCATAACAAATTTCAGGATTTGGGCTAAAAGTAATGTAAAATGAGTAGTAACTCGTTTGGAAATTCGTATTGGCTCATTCAACAGATTGGAGATAATTATAGAAGTAAATCGACTTGAATTTGTCAGGTATATGGTTATACAGTTGATTTTGGCAGTCCTTCGCCTTATTGTTTCTAACATCAGCTAAAATTGTAAGTGATATAACATGAACCAAAACAATTTTTTGGGTTTTCATTATAACAGCTCTAAGTTGTTCCAGGTTTAAACCTCCGGAATTCAAGGGTGACGATTATTTCAATCCAGTAATTAACCAGTATGAATGTTATAAATTCGAATTTTTTTTAAATGAATGTGTTTAAAATAATCTGGATTTTGATCACATGCTTTAATTTTAAGAAACTTGTAGATTCTTCAGTCTGTTTAGTGTTCGACCTTTCATGTTGGTTTGTTTCTGTTGTAGTGGAAAGTACTTACGAAATCTTAAGGCGTCCACATGACTCAAATATCGTTCTCCACGTCGTTGTTAATAATAAATTGTATTTAATTTAGGTTGTATTTATGGCACATTTTAATTCATAAACCCCAATCTGTACTTATTAGGTTCTTTAAATCTATGAAATTCGCTTTCAAGAGGAATCGGAATGCCACATTGATGAGATGGGTTCCTAACACACCAGTGTAACTTCTGATATCAACTCTCTCAGGTTTGTTACGTCTTAGTTTTTGGCGGACTCATTGTACGAATTACTTTATTAAGCGTGCACTTGTGCGTATGTATGCTTATTTTCGTCTGCATGCCCGTTGTAGGACAATACAGAAGATCTTATACTCAAAAATCACTACATAGAAACGGTTTTTTGTGCGCGATTTCCACCATCTATACACAAAGTTCTTATTGGAAATCACATAATCTTTAGAGAGGGGATAAATTCCAAAATTCAAATTCGTCACTGGGTTTCGAAAACTAAAAGACTGATATAATAAGTGTTTTGTACAATAATGGGCTCTAAATCCAAAATAATGCAATATCCTTGATTTCCAGGTGCTTTTTTAAAATCTTGTTTTTATTACTCATATTTTTATATCTTTGATCACAAATTAATATTCGTAAGTTTCAATAAAATCGCGTTTTGTCTATTACATCATCCGTTGTGTTTGCTACATCAGAGTAAGATTTTGTTATGTCCGTAAAGTTACTTCATGCTTTTTATATTAAACATTTATGTGCGAAACTAATTTTCTGCAAGATCTAACGCCTGGTTGGTTACAAATAGCCGATCATAAAACTCGACTTGTACTACAGTGTATTCAAATCAGAATTCTTAACAGCTTTTTGGTTACGTATAGTTGTTTGATTTCCGCCATGATGTAATAAGATGTAATTAAGTAACTATTCTGCCCAATTCTATTGAACTAACCATAAAAACCTGACATCAGCGTTTCTGATTTCCAATTCCTATGATCTAATTGAATCTGTAGATTTGTGATCTAATTACAATTCAGTGTGATTTCTAGCTGCGGGCTAGATACTACTCATTTTGTCTCAATCAAGGGTCAAATGTGTCTTAAGATCTCTCAACCGCAGCAGGCTTTCAGTTTCCTCATCATTTGGAGTGCTACTCAATTTCATCTTCACAACAAGTAACTTTGCAAATTCGGTTTGTTATTCAAGCCATTCAACCAACAGTTAGAAGTATTAACTTGCACAAAGTTGAACATTAGTTATTTTCAAATAAGTTTAAAGTAGTTTATTCTTGATTTATGCTTATGTTGAGCGGATCTAGCGTGTACACATCACTTGATATTTTTCTGCGCGAAAATTTTGTTAAAATGCAGTTGTGAAGTTATATTAGGGATACTGGTTACTAAAAACTGGCCATACAACATAATACTCCATACACGCCCAGTTGTCACTACCACATTCTCTGATCTAAGCATTTTGTTTTCTTCCATGTAGGTCAAAATTGACTTCTTCAATCTGTTGAAAGAACAAAAAAGTATCAATCGATACACTCATTGGACTGATGTCAAACGCAAGTTGGATACTGATCCTCGGTATAAAGCTGTAGATTCTTCTTCGAAAAGAGAAGATTGGTTCCGAGAATTTATTCGTAAACTTGATGATGTAAGTTTTTTTTGAGTTTAAACTTGTAGATTCCGATAGTTAATGTAGAGATTGCTAGTCTTCAGGTTTTTGCAACTTAACTCATATTCAGGGTTGTATGATGTGCTGTTGAAACATTAGATATTCAGAGTGATTTATCTGTTAATCCTGATGAACAAAAACAAATCGCGATAATGTAGATTTTGCTAGTCCGTAGTTTAACGATTAATGCGTCTTTTTTACTAACTTTTGTTTATTTAGTAATTCGGATCATCAACGATTTTTTAGCAGAAAGTAGGCGAATATGTTTAAAATTAGTATGTTTATTCTCTGATTATTCCACTGCAATGTTCAGTATTATTTGACTTCATAAGTTTTTCGTTTTCCATATTGATTTTACTTCGGCGTTTAATAGAAATGGATTATTTATCTTACCAGGTATCATGGAATAGTCCTTGTAGTTTGTGTAAACAAATGGAAGAATTAATACTATCTAGTTATGGACTTGTGAATTAATCTTTATAGTCACACAGTCATCGTCTGATGTTTAACGTTTCAAGCTTTCTGCCTGATTTAGAACTTTTTTTTAACCAAAATTAATCATCGGCTTCATAAAGCTTACTGAGATGATAGCAATCACAATCACCAGTCATAGATCAGAGGTTCACCATGAAATATTAAATTGTTCTGTCTTTCCTCAAATAAGGTTTATTTCGTCTCCCAAACCACTGCAGATAGTCTTATAATTGTCCATTTACAAAATCGTTCTTACCAATTTTAACTAATATCAAAGGTTAGTTTAAATATTATCCACTGCTGATTTTGCAGCAGTACTTATTTTGTTATCTCACTGTGTATGATAATCGTCGACACATTGATTTTGATTCATATTACAGAGCAAAACATCATTATGTAAACAGTTCTCCCCGAGTTTGTTTTACTACTACTTTCTTCGTAGATTCCTTCCTAGTTTTTAATAGACGCACATAACAAACGGTTCTAGTTTGGCATAGTGTATAGAAGTAGTTATCTCTCTGTATTGTTATTAATATCAATAAGACCTGGGATTATCTCAGTCAGTCGTTGTTAGCGGTTGTAAGAATATTTTTCATTTTCAGACATTCACGTACACTTTTTTTCAAAAAAACATTTAGGTTCCCGTCGTTCGAGAAGATAGTTATACGAGAAAAGAACGAGAAAAAAAGGAACGGCAAGAAGCATCCCTTAGGGAACGTGAGAAGGAAGTGAAGGAGGCATTATCGTCTTCGTTGAGGGAAAGAGACAAAGAAAGAGAACAGCATTTGCGCAATGAACAGGAAACAAACTTCCATTCAATGCTGCAGGATATGATTCGTGATCCTAGTCTGTCATGGAAGGAAGCCAAAAAATTGCTCCGTAAAGATCCTAGATGGGAGGCTGTTAGCGATGTGTTCGAACGATCTGAACGAGAAGAGATGTTTAAGGAACATATCAATGGATTGTCTAAAAAATCTCGCGAAATATTTTATCGACTGTTGAACGAAATTGAAGGAGTAAGTTAGTATAGTAATATAGATTTCGCAGATTTCTTTTGATTTGTCGTGGAAAGAAGCAAAGAAAATTATAAATACCGATCCTCGTTTTGAAAAGATTCCGAATGACAGAGTACGTACCTTTTCCCTAAATATAATCTTTTTGTGTCTAGAAGAAAGAATCCGAATATTTATTGTGGGTAGATATGAAAAAAAGTCAGGCGAAAGAAGCCTTTAAGGAACTACTGAAGGAAACCAAAATAATTAACACACGGTAAGTTGGTGTGTCTTTAGTGTTATTATTTATGAAATAGAACCAAAACAACCCTTGAAGAGAATGAAAATCACATTTCAGACATTATGGAGGCTCTTGAGGTTAGTAACATTCACTTTTATTACAGTTGTTGTCAATTTCTTATGTATTTAATTCTTATTAATCGTTTCTGTATTGCAGAAAGATAAAAGATTTATCGCCTTGGATGCTTTTGAGGATGAACGTAATGCTTTGATCGAAGATTATATCGATAGTTTAGACAAAAGACGCACCCCAACTCCATTGTCGATGTCAGGAAAAGATTCCAGTCGCCGGTAGTATCACAACAAGATCAATTCTCCTGCATTTTCATTTTGATCCCATCAGTAACTGCATATTCTTATTCTTCATACAAAATTAGTTTTCCCATCATACTCCTGGAATTTGTGAACAAATTGTGTTGGTTGTAATATTGATACTGTTAAATAAACTTTCGTTCATTCTATATATTTTCTTGATTCTCAAGGAGTGAATTTATTTTCTCCATTTTGCCTATTTTTGATCGTGTTCGTTTTATGAAATAGTGCTACATGCACTTCATCCCGTCAATAGGTAATGTGTTTAGAAACAATCATAACGTGTTAGCGTGATTAATATGGTAATAAATACTCTTACTTATATCATTCACTTCAACAGGTTTTCGAAATTGTGATGCATCACAATGCATACATTGGCACTATTTTAAGATTGTTTATTTTCATTGGAAAACAAAATCAAGATTGTTGGTTTTATTTTCATCCATTACGCTGTTCAAGTTCCCTGTTCTTTACTGTGGAGTTAGAAAACTAGTGAAGCACTATACTGAACGTTTCTACGCTTGCATTGTTACGTTATCGTTTGAATGCAGTCTTTAGTACACCAACTGTGGTATTGCTTTTCTGCTGTTGGTAGCAAGTTTATTGTTTTAGTTCATCTAACTAGCATGTATGTACAAGAATGCTGAACTGCTCTCCTTAGGTTCAACGTTGTTAATACCGTCACCAAAAAACCGATATTAGCCTAGAAATTATCTCTGTACTCTTGCGATGCTAGTCAGCATTACATCCGATTTGCCCCATTCACTAATCAGAGAATGTATTGAGTATAGAAATGTTCATAGTCAACTGAGTATATATATAGCTTTTTTTAAACCACTGATGATACTAGGCTAAGCTCATGTTCACATGCTTTTTAGAATACCACTGCCTATCAGTGATATGAGCAGGACATCAGAGTCACATGAGCTGAATTCATGTTCGGCGAATTCAAAAGAAGGTCATTTTTCAGACATACTGCAAGATGCTTCGACGTAAGTTATTTAGATTTCAGTTTATTTTCTCTTCATTCCTTATTTGAAAATTGCTGGTAGTTTTGTGCCGAAAATGCATTTTGTTTAACTAGCAGGTAAATTCCCACTATATTCATAGTAAAGTTCTCAATTAGTCATTTATCTTCATTTCAGCTTCGTCTTTTTTATTTTTTAATGCTTTCGCGAAATTTTAACGTCATAGGACCAAAATTTCCACATTAATTTGGCAGTTGAGCTTGCCTGTCCTTGTGCTCAATCTAGTCATATTGACGGAAACACTTATTCCTTAAGGTCATGCTGTTCCAGCTAGGATAGTTGTCGGACGCTAAGACTAGAAGCAGCAAGTCTGAAGACAGTTGTACTGCTAACTGTACGTGATCATTGCGTTATTAAGTTGCATTGAGAAATTTATCATGCGGTAAAAGCAGTGTTTTTTTTCCGAGCAACTAGCATATACAGCGGCGCTCCTTTCTCAAAACAGAAGGCTATGATATTTAGGCCCTAAAATTAGCACATCTTACTTCACCACGCGGATTCCCTTCTCTAGTGGTAAGGTCTTTAGGGTGCACATCTAAACCATCAAGAACTACTTACTGGAAGGCTTTGTGTGACGCCTCAATCGGTTGCTCCCTAGGTTTGTGCTCATACTCCTAAATTTCGAAGACTAGGATTTACCACCGCTAGTTGTTTCGTAAAAAAACATACTGAGAGGGACTATATACTTGTAACGACAATCTAGATTACACGTTGGAGCTTTCAACGTCCGAGCCTTATATAAAATCGGACAGAGGCGTTTTTTCTCTAGGACTATGGTGTCTCATATCACTGACACTAATTGCGTCTCCGGAACTTGCATGCCGGATTGAAGTTTGATCGTTCACTGAATCTTACTTAGTCAATACTGAGAACCTGCCGGACTTTCCCTCTGTGTATCTGGAGGCCTAACAATGAAAAAATGAGTATTTCAAGGGCGACTAAACAATTCTTTAGTCTTCCACAAATGCTTGAGTGTGTGCTACTGATTTCGACAGATATAAGTAGTGTGTATCACCGATTGGAAATAAAAGCTTGGAACCAGAAGGGTAAGAATATCAAGGAGGAGAGCGAAAAATGATTGGTGTGGAAACGAAGAGACAATTGACATTTTACAAATTAGGTATTTAGTGCGTCGTTCTCAGACTACCAAGTTGTTTAAAGTATATTCGGTTGTCCCTACTGGTGTTGTTGTTCACTAAAATCCCTAAGCATTTGGAGTTGTGGTTTTTTTGCAAAGCACTATTGTGAATCTGCGGGTTTATAGATTTTCGCGATTGTAATTGCCGTGATACGCTAGTTCAGAAAGGTATATCTAATTATGACATCTCTACCAGCAGAAAGAATGCCCATTGTTTTACATCAGTATTTGTTTCGATATAGATTTATGGGTATAGATATTTTCTATTCTTAGGGATATGACTTTAAATACTGAAAATTGCAGGTTTAGTTGATCTTCTTGAACTAAGTGCTTCACACAGTGGTTTAACCTCCCAAATTCAATCTCTGCATACGTAATACTAATGTAATCGATTTTGAGTAGCTAAGTTGTTTTAACCACAGTATTAGCCACTGATTGATATGAAGTACGCCATCTCAACTAAATGTATTGTCTATTCAATACGGATTTCTTACATGTACATCGATTTTCCTGCTAGATCACTTCCTACCGTTCGATAGTTAAAAATTTAGAAAGGGGTTTTCTTGTTGTTTTCTGTCAATCACTGAATAATGTCCTTTCCAGCTTTTACTGTTGATCGGATCCCGCTGGTCAGATTTACTACTTTTAGCTGTAAGGTAACTTGGCATCCCGATATATTTAGTCAGGTGATAAAAATGAAATGTATGGATTCTCATTACTGTCAAACTCCTCAGTATCCTCTTAAAGAATCTTGCATGCTGTATCGATGTGTTAATCATAGTTAACATATAACCTGAGATGTATATCGACCTAATTTACTATACCCACATAAGCATATCGACAGAAAATCAACAAGCCGAGAAACAGTGGAAAAGAATTAATATCAACTACAATAAAAATTTAAACATAATGTACAGTACGAACAAAGCAAACAAAATCAGGGAATTGAAAATTATGATTTCTAGATACAGAGAATTAATGTAACTGCACAAATCCTACTTAATGTCTTATCACCATTTCATTCAACATCCTCAAGTATAAATTAGGTCTACTGTTGCAATTTAGTTGAACACAGCTGGGATTAACTTTTAAAAGAGCTTATTATTTAAAAAGTTTTCAATCCCATATTATTTGATTAGTTTAATCAAACGGTAGGTCATTGCATTATATGGTCTTTGTCGGGGAGACGTAAGTGCTCGAGCAGCTTTCACACTGCGAGGCATTGAATCCTATCCCTTCCTCCTCGTGGCAGGGATGTTTTTTTACGAAATTGGGAGGACAAAAAGCAAATGTCCGACGCTTTAACCGGGTTGGTGGATATGGAGGATACACCTATAGGAGTTGGAAAACCCTGATTCAAACCAATGGTGCACATGGGGTCCAGGACCCAAAGGGAACAAGTGGAGTATGAATCAATCGTTGGTCACCGACTACCATGGGACTGCATCTCCTTAAGATGCTCCACTGCCTTGTGGATCAGACATTCAGGTCAAAGGCTGGGGGTGTGGCCCCTCAAGACAACCACCTGCTTCAGTTTGGGCACCTGGACAGTATCACAGCCCTCACACAAATTGAATGAGATTTGTGTGGCGCATATATATCTGGTGCTGCTTTGTACCAGTATTGGTGTTTAAATAAATAAAAAATAACCTGTTCGTGTATGGTCGATCACATTAAATTCAAGATATTCTACTATAGTCGTCAGTGCTCACTGATCAGAACAATTGAATGTTAACAAAGTGATCTTATTATCAAACACATTTCTGTCTATACAGATTTAAGCATTAAATTAGCTTCTTTAAAAATTGTGAGATAGTTGACATCGGTCACTGAGATGCATCATGTTAATCATTATTTGACTGTTCCAAGCACTGTTATCTTCGCGTTTTCCGTTTTTTTACTTTGTTGTAGCGTAGTTGTATACTTCGATTTCATTCAAAGCAAAATAAGATTCATACAGTGATACTATCAGTTTATTGATTTGATTATATCATCGTGATTGGACTATAATTTATTGACAATCTTTTAGCGACCTAGAGTGACGTGAATATCCACTTTCTAGGGCTAAGTGATGGCTTTAAATTCGTTTGTGTAATTACGATCACTATTTACAGCATGATTTTAGGGTTAAGAATTAGATTTTAGCGGCTTCATCACGAACTGACATCAGTTGTAGTGTCAAAATGCTATTCGCTCAAATGGATAAATTAACTTTACACCAAAATCCAAGACTTGTTATCTTCAATGTGATTGGTTCGTCCTGAAATTGTAGTTCCGCCGTCCTTGTTACTCCGAACTTCTCGCTAGCCTATAATAAACAATTCATTTAAAGTATCTGTTCTTGTCTATAGAATAGCGAATTACTTGTTTTTCAGTTGTAGGGAGTTTGTAAACATCGTCCAATTTGTTGATTACATCATGGACGGGGTATAATCAAGAATTAACAACTACTTGTCAACTCTGTGGTCTTGAAGGTCATCTGTACTGTTTCTGGCATTGTCCTACATAAACGATGCTATAGTCTCATACTCAGAGAAAACAGTCACCCAGTGTTTCCTGGTTTCCGACAGTTGTCGAGTTGAAGATTTTGTTTAACATTATTTTTTCACGATAGACCTACATAGTTTCATTTGCTGAAGAGTGACTTTGTTATTTGACAATATTCGTTCCATTCAGTCAGTCAGCGTAAAACCTGGCACATATTTTGATCTCTCCAAGTTGCCACAACACATCAGCATAGCGAGATACAAAGACAGTAGACATAGTTACAGTATCAGTGTTAATAGAGAAGATATGGTATAAATAACATGATTTGATAAAAGATGAAATCACGGAATAAGAAGTACCAGATAATTTTGTGATGAATGATCTAAGAGAAGGCAGAGTGAATGCTTCTGTATCATTGCGTTTGGTTATGAGTCATGTCAAACAAAGTTTCGAGTGATAAGTTAGGATAATCACACTGACCCTAACCAGGTAGGTAATCTGTACCTACTGGAACATCTCAGACCAACAATTGATAACTTCATGAACTGATCATAGGTTTCAGTTTCGTCTTCCATCGATTTCTTCCAGACTTACTCATGCGCCAGCAAATATTATTCGTCGAGGTAGGCGTTGGTTTGGGATACATAGTTTTTGTCCTTGGTCGTTTAAGTCGATTTTGGTCATTCAGCTAAAGCATATCATGAATAAGTGAATTCACACGGTACCAACTTGTAGGAATTCATTATACTTACATGATACTTAATTTAAATTCAACACTTGGTGACTGATGAGAATAAAGTTGTGAAAATTGTAGCTTAAATATGACTTCTAGAACTAATACAATGAATATGTAAGTTAGAACATTAAACACTTCTAACCAACGATTTAGGATTACATTAGATTTGAATAACAGTTAAACTTGACTATTATTGATAATTATATCTTATCGGTTATGATAACCTTTTTAAGGCATGAAACAAACACAGAAACGTAGTTAAGGTAAGAAAGGTCAATTTAATCTTTAACCAGTCCTATAGTTTATTTATTAGACATGAATATTATTTAATTGTCGCTTGACCCGTTTTTATAAGTGATATTGTACGTGATTTGGATCTTTTTAATTAAACATATAAACATTGGTACAAGGGGGCATAAAATACATATGCGCCACACAATAACAATGAGGCCAGTGACACTGTGATATACCCAGGGTGCCCAAACCAAAGCAGATAGTTTTATTAGGGGGCCACAACCCGAGCCTTCGACCTAAAGGTCTGATCCACCAGTCAGTGGAGCATCGTGAGGAGATGCAGTCTCATACTAGCCGGTGACCAACGAT